GTGCTGCTGTCAACTGAAGGAATTTTCAGAAACATGGTAGTGATTGTGGAATAAAAGATATTCAACAGTTTGTCTTGTGGTACCTGGGGGCCAGGTTGTGATTCTGGAGGGACAGTGCTTGGTCTGAGGTGCAACAACCACTCCTCCAGGTTGTGTCTTCCAAATGGGAAGTAAGTTCTGGTATGTTCCTTGAAAGTGGGACATTTAGAAATCATATCTTTTGCACATTCACCTACACCTCTCACTGATCTAGACAAAATCATCAGGTCACCGTTTAACTCCGATTTGCATGCTGGGCCTTGGGTGGTTACCTAGTAGCTTCTCCATATGCAGTAGGCATGAAGTAGCTGAAGCCCCAGGAAGAATAGCTCTGGAGTTTGCCAGAAACTCCCCAAGTGATAAAGATGTTAGGAACCATGCCCTTAGGGAACCAGGGAAGGGCAAGACTTGTAGGTAATAATCTGTATATATGGAAAGCTGTAGAGAGGGTGCTTGGGCCTTCCAGGGGGGTGAAGGTCAGGGTCTGAATGAATTAGGAGCCTGTGGCTTCCAATAACACCAGCTGCCTGGGCTCAGCCCCCCTCAGCAGTGATGTTCGGCTCCAGAGAGCCACAGCAGGTGGGAGAGGGGGGAGGCTGAACAAGGTTGTGTCACCCAATCCAGACAGTGCATAGTGACGTGCAAGGACAAAGCAGAAGAGAAGGATGAGTCTGTGTGAATCTGCACAACACATATGACAAATGCATGTCAGCTTATGTTTGTAGGTAGCACTAACTATGAAGCTGTAGGATTGAGGACTTTGTTTCTTTGCTCTAGCTCCCTCCATCCTTAAAGCCAGCACTGAATTCCTGATGTGCTTTGAGCCTCTTTGACTTCCTGGTTCTCTGATCTCTACATCCAGGTCGAAAGGGCTCGTGTGATTAGATCAGTCCACCTGGATGATCTCCCCCATTTTAAGGTTGAATTAATTACATCTACAAAATTCCTTCTGCCATATAATGTAACATAATTAGACAAATGACACCAGACAAAATAGACTGGAAACTTTAAAACAAAATGTGTCAAAGACAAAGAGGAATATTTTATAATGATAAAAGGGTTAGTCCATCAGGAGGATATAATAATTATAAACACATTTGCATCTAAAAGAGTCCCAAAATATAGGAAGCAAAAACTGACAGATTTAAAGGGAGAAATAGAGAACTCAACAATGATACCTGGAGACGTCAATACCACACTTTCAATAATGGATAGAATGACCAGGCTGAAGATCAACAAAGAAATACAAGACTTAAATAACATAACCTGATAGACATCTATAAAACATTCCACCCAACAAGGGCAGAACACAATTTCTCTCGAGTGCATTTAGAACATTCTAAAGGACAGACCACACACTGAGCCATAAATGTAAGCTTCGGTTCATTTAAAGGACTGAAATCATATAAAATTTTGAGACATCTCACGAACCAATACTGTCACACAGTCTAACCACAGGTTGGCAACTGTTGGTAGTTTGTCTGGTCCTCCTTCCTTCACTTTGTCATGAATGCTCAGCGGCACATATGGAGGTGGCCATGGTCACACATGTGTAGGCCCTTAGCCTGGAAATCCTAGGCAGCTGAAGGGAAGACAGATATTTCAGGAAAGTTTGACTAGTCCTAGCCTCACAAAAACAGGGAGGATGTCAGACACAGGAAGTAAGGAGATGTCAGGAGATCACTTTCTCTCCTGTCTGGGCCTCTCTTTGAAACCTCAGCATCTCTGTTGCCAAGTCCCATTGCACAGAAATGTAATGGATCACCACCAACCACAGTAGACCCATGATCTTGATTTTTGCCATGCTCTGACTGAGAATACAACTGCCAATCAATAGCTTTGGGTCAACACAAGCTCTCAATCCGTGTTCTATGGAAACTGCTCTGGACATAAGGAATAGCAGTAGTTTACAAGTCACTCCAAGTGCAGTAGTCACTACATGTATTCAAAGAAATACGCAAAACCTATATCAATGGCTTTGACAAATTCAAAAGATACCTTGTGGAACCAGAATGAAATTTATAAGTGATAAGCATAAAATATGTATATAAAGATCAAAACACGGACTTCCAGCCAAGGTGGAGTCATAGGTATATACACGGTCTGTGCCTCCACACACAATCAAGAGAAGGACAAATTTAAAAACAAAAAACAACCAGAACTGCTAGAAAATTGACCTGTATGGAAGTCCAGCAACCAAGGAGTTAAAGAAGAAACACTCACCCAGACCAGTAAGAGGGGTAGAGACGGGCAGCCGGGTGGAGAGGACTCACAGGCAAGGCGGCAGCTTGTGAACCCTGCAAGGTGGCAGCTGGTGGAACAGGCAGCCCCACATTTGCTTGTGGATAAGCCGCAAGGAACAACTGGGGAGTGATACAGATCACACAGACCAGGGTTCCAGTGCAAGGAAATAAAGCCTCAAAACCTTTGACTGAAAAAAACCTGTGGGGGTTGAGGCTGCAGCGGGAGAAACTCCCAGCCTCATAGAAGAGTCCATTGGAGAGACCCATAGGGTCCTAGAATGTACAAAAACCCACCCACCTGGGAATCAGCACCAGAAGGGCCCAGTTTGCTTGTGGGTAACAGAAGAAGTGACTGAAAGCTGGCAGAGAGCCCAGCAAGTGGTATTGTTCCCTTTTGGACTCCCCCCACACCCCGCCACAGATAGCACCACAACACAGCAATGTGGGTTGCCCCGCCCTGGAGAATACCTAAGCTCTGCCCCTTAGAACCTTAAGAGGTCACTGGGACAAAAAAAAAAAAAATGACCCAAATTGAAGAACAGATCAAAGCTTCAAAAATGAACTAAACAATGAAGAGATAGCCAACCTATCAGATGCACAGTTCAAAACACTGGTAATCAGAATGTGTACAAAAATGACTGAGTATGGACACAAAATAGAGGAAAAAGTGAAAGCTATGCAAAGTGAAATAAAGAAAATGTACAGGGAACTTACCGTAAAGGGAAGGAAACTGGGACACAAATCAATAGTTGGACCAGAAGAAAGAAAGAAATAAACATTCAACCAGAACAGAATGAAGAAACGAGAATTCAAGAAAAAAGTGGAGAGTCTTAGGAACCTCTGGGACAACTTTAAACACTCCAACATCCAAATCATAGGGGTGCCAGAAGGGGAAGAGGAAGAGCAAGAAATTGAAAACTTATTTGAAAATATAATGAAGGAGAACTTCCCCAATCTGGCAAAGGAAATAGACTTCTAGGAAGTCCAGGAAGCTCAGAGAATCCCAAACAATTTGAACCCAAGGAAGCGCACACCTAGGCACATCATAATTATATTACCCAAGAATAAAGATAAGGAGAGAATCTAAAAGGCAGCGAGAGAAAAGGAGACAGTTATCTACAAAGGAGTGCGCATAAGACTATCAGCTGATTTCTCAAAAGAGACCTTACAGGCAAGAAGGGACTAGAAAGAAGTATTCAAAATCATGAAAGGCAAGAACCTATATCCAAGATTACTCTATCCAGCAAAGCTCTCATTTAGAATAGGTCAGATAAAGTGCTTCCCAGATAAGGTCAAGCTAAAGGAGTTCAGATAAAAAATATAAACAGAAAAATGACAACAAACTCACAACTGTCAACAACTGAACCTAAAAAATCAAAAACAAACTAAGCAAACAACTAGAACAGGAACAGAATCACAGAAATGGAGATCACGTGGAGGGTTATCAGCGGGGAGGGAGAGGAGGGAGAATGGGGGGAAAGGGCACAGGGAATAAAAGGCATAAGTGGTAGGTACACAATAGGCAGGGGGAGTTTAAGAACAGCATAGGAAATGGAGAAGCCAAAGAGCTTATATGTGTGACCCATGGACATGAACTAAGGAGCAGGGGTGTGCGGGCAGGAGGGGAATAAAGGGGGGGATGGGACAACTGTAATAGCATAATCAATAAAATACATTTTAAAAAATAAAATGTTCTATGAAAACAAACACGTGATTTGAAACTAAAAAAAAAGATTAAAACACAAACCAACCCCCGCACAGAGGAGGAGGGTGGGGCTTTCCGGGGCGGGTGTCAGCCCTGACCCGTCTGTGGAGCAGCCGCGGGCCTCCCCAGCGAGGGAGGAACAGCCGCCGCAACACCGGGCTGCAGCGGGAAGTAAACGAAGACACGGTTGGGACAGAAATCCTTTTTATAAATTAATTGTTTATACACTGAGTATTATGCTCAGAATTTTTTTATAACACTGAAATGATGTGGAAAAACCTGGAGAACTAGAGAACACCAAGACCACCCGACGTTCCTTAAAACAATGAAAGAATTGAGGCAATATGGATTCCTGAATGTCTTCTGTGTTCTTGTAAGAACGAACAATAAAAAATGTGCTTAAACTTTAGAAAGAGATGGGTCTCCGCACAGGGGGACGCGGCTGCCGAGGGGGCAGTACCCGTCCGTGCTGACCCTCAAGAGACCAGGTGGCTTTGTGTATCGGTGTGGCCTAGGCAACAGGAAGACAGGGGCTCCCAAGATTCCATGACACTGTCCATCTTCCAATTCTGTTACTGTGACTCCAGACAGTTACCTGGCAGGAAGGGTCCTCTCCCCTGGCGCCCTTGTCAGAGCCCAAGCTACGGGCGATGCCTTTGGCTCTGAGCTTTGGCACATTGTGCCTTATTTTTGTGGTTGAGAATTCTCTGAGTTTTGGAGTGCTGATAAAGATTAGCTCAAACACGAGTTAAGAATTACATCTGTATTCTTTAGACTTGTTCAAATCCATTTTTTCACTTAAAGAGACTTTGTTGAGGTATCTTGTGCATACTAAAGCGCCCACACATTGTAAACATAATTTACCAGACAGTACAAGCGTCACCATAATGCACTTGATTGCTTTTAATTTATTATCTGTTTGGTACTTTCCCCCAGATTCTGGCTCTGTTTCTTCTACCACAAGCTTCAGTGCAGCAGTCTTTCTCCCCACTTCCTCTGGTCCAAGGACAGAAATGAGCATCCTGGAAACCAAGCAGCACTTGTGCTCCCAGCTGGAAGAAAGCAAACAGAACTTCGGAGACATCACAGTGAAATTCCTCACGTGCAAAGCTACTGCTCACGCCCTGGCCAGGCAGCTGCAGAAATACAGTAAGCCTCTGAGGTCACAGTCACCAAAGTGATAAGTGAAGGTCCCTCTTCCCTCCGAGAACCTAAACACCCGCCACACTTTCTTCTCTTTCCTTCATCAAAATAAATTTCATCCTGACTATATTCCTAAAAAGATAGAAGTGGGTGTTTTACCTTCAATTTTCAGAGCATGGAAATGCTGAGGCAGAAAGGAGTCAAGTTTGCAGTGAAAGTGTGGAAAGGAATGGAGGCGAAAGTCTGGATGGAGGCACTAAGTCAGACTTTCACTGAGCACTCATTTGCAAAGCACTGTGCTAACTGTTCCAGGGGCGGGAGAAGGCACACTACACCTATATGTTGTGACCCTCCAAGGCCGGGCAGGTCCATGGTATTCACATAAATGGAATAACATTCACAAAGTCATTGGGATGTCTAGTGTGCCTTTGTTCATGGGTAGACGAGCCACGCACGCTGCAAGCTGCGTGTCTACCTGCATGTCTCTGTGTCCTGCCCTTTGCGCCCCAGCGTGGCACCCATCACAGCACAGTCCCCTTGCGTGTGTCTCCCATCATCACCCCCAGCAGGGAGTCCCTACCTGTTTAAGTACTAGAGGGGAACAAAGCCGGAAAACTGCCAGAACATTACATAAGGTAACATAATTCTGCGCATGTGAGCCCACTTCATGTTATGGGAACAGTTTATCGGACCCGGTCTCAAGGCGGTGAGAACACTGGTTATCAGGCCCCTCCCAGGCTATGGGAACCCTGCTCCCCTTAGTTACCCAGACACCTGGGCGAGGAAGCCAGGCTGCCTCCACTTACCCTATAACTTACCTGCCTTAAGGGACCCTAAAGCCGTCTATTCCCCAACTGAACCACAGACATGTGGAGAAAAGAACACCAGCTGCAGACATAAAGGGAAGTCCTGATGCCAGGAGCAAGATTCTTTTCCCCATAAGTTCAAAGAAGCCATTCCTCACCCCCTGGTGAACTGAGGGCAATTCCAGGAAAATCAGACTCCAACACCTTTCCTCTCTCTCCCTGAACATGAACTTTACCCACAGCAAGCGAGTCCAGGATCTGGGCTTTGAGACACGTGTCCAAAATGAGAATGAGGCCCAGTGGAGGAGACCTGGGGTCCCAGTAGCAGGACGGGTCAGTGGAGGGGCTGCCCCTTCCCTCCCCGAGTTCAGCTCCCACATTTGGAGACCCATGGGACAAGCCTGTTCCTGGTCAGGGGGGGGGGCTGCGGCAGCTGGGGGAGCATGGGGTCGAAGGCACGAGAGGGACAGGGATCTCAGAGGAGGGCTCTTACTGATGTTGAGTTTGCTTTCAAATTTTTACACCTGTTTTTCAAAAAATCAATAGTGGGGGGTATAACATTTGTTATCCAACCAACTGACTTGGGCAAGAAAGCTTACTTATTAAAAATGAAAAGATGAACTTTGGGGTGTCAAAGTATAACTTTTTACATTATTCATTAGAACCATAATATAACTCTAGGACACATTCCCCGCCCCCCGCCCCCACCCCCCGCCTTACAGTGGGGAAAAGGCAGCGCCCGAGATCTCAGAGTGAAGGTGATGCAGTGCAGGACGGTGAGGAAGAGCACGCTCCCCGAGGCCAGATTTCCAGGGCTAAAACCCAAGCTGTCCAACGTCCTGGTGCCTCAGTGCTCCCATCTGCAACGGCAGTGAGAACAGCAGTGGTGATGATTACGTGCCGGTAATCCTTGCAAGTCTGCTGGAACAGTGCCGTGGCAGGTGCCACGCGGTAGTGTTCCCTTTAGCCCGACCCAGCACTTGTTAGCTTTTGCACACACGCCCCTCAGAGTTTTTCCCTTCATACACTCGCACATTTTTATGCAGTTGTGTCCAGAGAAACTTGTAAATCTTTGAAATATTGGGAGTGGGGGGGGTGGTATTGAAACGCTCACTGTTGAAAAGCCATCAGTTCTGCTGTCACTCGGGTCTTCACAATTCCTACTTCATGCCCACGTTACTGTTTTACTTAAGTGGCTGCCAGTGGTAAAGTCACCCAAGATTTGGAGTCAGCCCTCAGGGGATGTAATTTCTGACTTTGCCTCTTTCCAGTTGAATCATTCTGAGCAAGTTATTTTACCTGCCTCTGAGCTTCTCCCCTCATCTCTACAATGAGAGTCAATCAAGTACCACGTAGTGAAAGGTTAAAGGATAAGACGTGGAAACCCCAGCGTAGAGCCTGGCAATGGGGTTAGTCGTGTCCCTGGGATGGACCCTGCCTCCTCCCTCGAGGGCAGTGAGCACAGCAGCAGGGGACAGGTGTCTCTGTTTTCTCAGAGCATGAAGAGTGCGAGGACCTCGCTGAATCCGTGCCGAAGGAGGACGCGCCGTTTGAGGAGGGGGATCTGGCAGAGAAGACGGGAGCAGCCGCGTGGCTTGGGTAAGGAGGTACCTGAGTGCCAAAGTGTGTGAATGACTGTTTGAAGTGGGGCAGCCCGGGCTGGTAAAATAAGGAGCAAGTCTGTGCAAGGAGAAGGGCAGAAGTGCACACGGCAGGCACGGCAGTAGACAAAGACAACTGGTGGGCCCGTGGGACCTGGGTTCTGGGCTAGTGAGGTCCTGGGGTTCTCCCTTAAATCATATAGGAGTAAAACAGATGCTCGGGTTGCAATGCTAGCAGTGTGGCTTCTAGCTGTGTGACCTTGGGCAAGTTCACTCAACCTTCTGCATCTGTTGCCTCAGCTACCTCTGCTATAAAATGAAAATACCGACAGTACTATCCCAGAGGGTTAGGAAGAGTAAATGCATGACCACATGTGGTTAGAACCATCTCTGACACGTGTAAAGAAGCTCTCGACAAATATCTGCTCCAATTGTTCTACTTGCTCCTATTTTGTAATGGGTGTGGTGGTTGTCATGAATGGGGCAACATCTTCTAGTACAAAAGATATTGTCCAAGCTTTCCAAAGTTCCTTTGTATGATAAAAATGTTCCTTCCCCAATTTTGATTTTCTTCCCTAAATATTATACTGTGTGGAGCCGCTGGGTAGATGGGTAACTGAGCAGCTGTCATGTGGAAAATGAATAATGTGCTGAGGACCAGGAGGGCTCATCCCGAGAGGGTTTTAAATACAGGGCAGACTGTGTGGCACCCAACACTTCTCTTACCCTCCGGTGGAAAGGTAACCAGAGAAGCTCAAATGTGTAAAACCCACAAAGCAGAGATATTTGATTGAAGGGGGCCTGGGTCTGGAGCCCCCCTGTCTCTCCAGGTCTACGCTTTCACCTCCTCTGGCACTTTGTGGAACACTACAGAATACAGTCCTATATGCTTGTGGAAGACCATTGGCAGGCCACCCAGTGGACAGCAGGGAAGAGATTCGGGGATCAGAAGGGTAGGGGTCTACTCCAGCTGTAGGGTTACGTGCTTCTGAGTATTAGTGGAATGCCTACCTGTGTGTGAACTCTGTTTGGGGACCGTAGGTTGGGTAATAAACGGCACTGTCTCCAGCCTCACAGAGCTTACATCCTATATGGGGATCCATGAGAACTATTTGTACGATAACAAGAAAATAGTGAAATCCCGAACTTCATTCACTCTTCAGCACCCCCTTACTGATGTGCTACCCTTCCTGACGCTTTCAATTGGTTTTCCTCTCTGTCCTTTCAATGAACACCAGGTGCACCTGCCCAACATCCTGGGTCCGGCTCCCCAGCCCCTCTCTTCCCGAATAATGCCTGATGAACGCCACATGGAAATGCATGTGGGCTGAAGTGAGGAAGAGAAGAGGCACCTTTTTAAAGCCAAGTTAATAAAAAACAGAGACAAACCCGCTGGTGTTTCCTCACACCCTCTGCCACAGACCCATTGTGTGAGAATTCAACTCAGGGGATCCCTGGGGGGGCGCTGTAAGAGACGTCTCTGCTGCGACTCCCGAAGCCCATGAATCCGCTACAATCACGTTGCCACTTCACTGTCCTCTCCCGCCCTAGGAAGTACGAGGACCTAATTCAGGCTCAGGCCAGAGAACTGGCTCACTTAAGGCGGCAGATCCAGGATGGGAAAGGTGTCTGCTACCTTTTCACCCGGCAAGCAAAGACCATAGCCAAGTCTTTTGAGAGCCTCCTCGGGACCACCGACATTGCCTACACCCAGGGACGAAGATTCTGTCAACAGCTGGCCCAAGGAAGCCAGCTGGCCGAGAGCCTCGCCAGCAAACTCGGTCCTGGTAAGTTGGTTTCCAGGCTGTAAAGACCCTTACCTCCTCCCCATGGCCCCTCCTCACCTAAGACACCACACCTCCAAGACTCTAAGAGTGACTTTTTAGCCGGATGTTTTGTGCTGGTTTCGGCCTACCGATAGTGAAGCTATCATCTGGAAATACCTGGGGACACCCACGTGGGCCCAAGGAAAGCCCCCACAGACATTTTTCTTCTAGGAGCCAATGCCAAGGCTGCACCAGCCCTTGTGGTTCTAACCATTGTATAACTGCAGGGTACACCTTGGCAATGACCATCAGGGACACTGGAAAAACCGAAACGAAACCAAACAAACCCAAGGTCCATTATTCACAGGTCCTGGAGGGTACCCAGCACCGTGCAGGCCACAGAGCAAGGTCATGGGTAGAGACAGAGCCTGGGTCTTTGGGTCCCACTTCCACTGGGGTTGAGGGTGGGTTGTCTAGGGTTCCCCAGGTTGGCTCTATAGTGGTGAATTTAAAACATACGAGTGATCATTAAAGTGCAGGAAGGAACAAACAAGTGCTCCAACGTCAGTTACCCAAGTCAGCCAGAGAGCTCTCAAACGAAGGAGACGCCGGGCTGGGCAGCTGCCCCTTGAGCTAGCTGTGCGCTGGCAGTGGGCCAAGGGAGGGAGCGGCCTTCCGAGGGCTGCCTCTGAGATCAAAGCTCAACCTCAGGCATTCGGATAACAACTTTTAAAAAACATATGTCAGATACAACTTTGTTTATTAAGTTGGTTTGGTTGACATTGGCTAATGAAAGCATGTAACTTTCGAGTATACAGTTCTAAAACACACCATCTGCATATTGCATTGTGTGTTAAATCTCCTTCCATCACCATATACTTGCCACTCTTTACCCTTTATTCTACCTCCACCCCTTTCCCTCTGGCAACCATTTTTTTAAAAGCCTAACACAAACTATTGTTCTGGGGTGTACCCCCGAGTAGTGAGATTATGAACAAGCAAGGAAGTGCCTCTGTAACAGTCAGGACAGCGATGATCTCTGGAGGAAGCACGGGAGCTTGGGACGAGCGGGGGTAACCGGGGAGACGCACACAGGCCTCCTCTGGGGCAGTGATGTGCTGGTCCTTGACGGCGGTGCTGGTCACACGGGTGCTCACTTTACAAACATGCGTTAAACTATGCACACTTTTGGTATCCTATATTTCACAATTATTCCATTCTTTGATGAAGAGAAAAGTCAATTGTCAGGTGCCTACCTACACCCGGTTTTCTACCTCCCATTCTGGGGACGCTGACCTGTCAGAACTGGCTCTGGCTGAGGGTTGAGTACGGTGGAGACAGACTCGGGGCTGGAGGTCACAGGGTCACAGCCTCCTCCTTCATCCCAGCGGGAGGCAGTAGCCAGCCAGTCATTTGTGGTGTTTGAGGGTCATTGATACACAATATGATGACCCCCTGTAATGTCAGTTCTGAGTTGTGAAAAATGTACCAAGATGCAGAACAGGTCCTTTGGCCCAGAAGTTCCCTTGTGTCCGTTGTCTGTAGTCCTCCACGTGCCCCGCCCCAGCCCCTCGCAGCCACCGGATCGGTTTCCTGTCAGCCCAGATCTTCCATCTCCAGAGCGTGCCAGCAGTGTGTCTCGTTTCTTACTGAGCACTGTTCCATCACAGTGAGGTGCCTCCTTGGGTTTGCCCACTCTCCCCTGAGGGACATCTGGGTGGTCTCCAGTCGGGGCAGTTAGGATGAATAGCTATGAAGATTTACAGACAGGTTTTGTGTGGAAGGAAGTTTTCACTTCACTTGGGTGAATCTGAGAGTGGGGTTGCTGGGTCACGCGGTAAGTGTATACTTAACTTACAAGCAACCGTCAAACTGTTTTCTAACGTGGTTATACCATTTCCAGCTTATTTGAACAAGTTTCTTTTTATTCCTTATTTTCTGAGAGTTTTATTTTGCATAGATGTTGAATTTTGTCAAATGATTTTTATTCATCTGTTGAGATGATTATGTTATTATTTTAAGTACTTTTAGATGGTACTCTGGACATTTTGAATATTATGTTGTGAGCCCCTGGTCCTGTTAAAATCCTCTGGAATTGATGTGTTAGCCGGCAATCAACCCCTTGAGGCTCAGAAGGCAACTGGTTAAGTTCTGTCCGCCCTCTGTGGGCTGAGTTGCAATGCCAGGTCAGTGTTCGGGCCTTTGAGGTGTCGTCTGGACTAGGCGGTTCATGTGGTGATTCGTTTCTCTAATCCTCAACCTCGAGTCCTTGGGTCTGCTTCACACATATTCAGTTTGTGGATGAGCCCAGGACTGTTGTTAGTTCATGAACAGCTTTCCAGCCTCTCCGAGTCTGGTCCAGTGCCCAAGGGTCCCCTTTCCAAGTTCCTCTGTTCAGAAAGTTCGCCTTTCTCCGAGATTTGTCCTCTCACCCTGCGCTGCAGTTCTGCACGACTGGGGCCACTTTAAGAGCAAGAAGGCAAAGGAGTTGAGAGAAAAACAGGGGGAGACTCTGTACTTTTCAGACAACAGGCCCCTGTTTTCCTGGCTCCTTTGACCAGAGAGCTGGATTCTCTCTCGTGGCTCAGGTCCCTGCTCAGCTGGACCACACACTGCTGCAGCCGTGCTGGTCTCTGAATGGGGTCAGGAGAGAAGAGGGAAAAAAAACAGAAATGAAAAAGGGGTGGAGATTCTCTTCCCGCTCTCCAGCATGCAGAGGTCCTTTGGTCCTGTCATTTGTTGGAAAGAGGTGGTTTCTTCTGAAGTTTTTGCGGCTCAGACACGGCAGTGGGTCCTGTGTGAAGAGGGGTGGGGACACACAACCTGGTCCAGCACCCGCCTCACAGAGCAGAGGGTCGCAGCCGGGGTGGGCAGAGGCAGCTGAGCGAGCACCCTGCAGGCCGGCGGGGAACAAAAGACGTTTTACACCCTTGGCCTTGACTCAGTAGCAGACATCAAGGTGATGACTCACGGCACCAGGAGCTCTCTGTCCAGGGTTGCTCGGGAAAGCCGGCCAGCCTACTTCGCTGAAGACACACACCCAGCCCTCCTGGAATAAGGCTCCCAGAGCATTCTGAACAAACACGTTGAATACTATGTCCCTGATCATGCAGGCCCTCACATTTGTGGTGTGTGAGGTGGGGTCTGCTCAGTGTCTGACTCTCTCTATTTGCGGCGCACAGAAAATCCGAATGACAAGAAGGATGGAGATGGACAGAAGGCCGTGGCACCCAGGTAATGCTGAATGATGAAAGGGCTGATGATGGGATGGTGACATTTAGAGAACATTTCAGAAACAAGAGACCAATAGGCCAAGGTCCTGGGTCCAGAAAAAATAAACAAACAGAAACTGCTGATTGTACCTATGTTGTGAATTCATCATACAGTGATTAAACAACGTTGCCTGTTCTTTTTGCACTTTTTGTGTTGATTAGCATTTCCTAATAATTCCTTAAGTTTAGTTAGCTAAAGTCAGTCTGACCTAAAAGCAAACCAGCCAATGATCCCTGGTTTCTGTATTCTAAAACCTGTGTGTTTCAAAACCAAAGTGAGGTGCCTCTCTGAGGTATGCTGGCTGATGTTTCATAGCCAGAAAGTTCTTTTGAAAGATAAAATCCAACCCATATCAAATATTTGGAGAGAAAGGTCTAAAAGCTGTGAGAACCCCAGGAGATGATATTTTCAGGGTCCAGTGTTAAAGAGACCACTCCCTATAATATTAAATCTGTCCACAGCATTTCAGAGCCAATATTATGGTCTCTGCGTGTTCTGCAGAGTCCCATGTCTATTTCAGGGGAGTGGCTGAGTCTCCGCCTCTTTCTCAAGCCATGAGGTCAGGACACCAAGCACCTGCTGCTCGCCCTGCCCCAGTTCCAGGCACACTAACCACAATCAAAATTGGACTGTCAGGCTTTCTCTTTGATTGGATGGCCCCTTTGGTTTCTGGTACCTCTTTCATGAGCCTCAGACCAGCACCAGCTGGGAAGCTTGGATTCCAGGTTGCCTCAGTTTAATCTCCTCTCTCGCTTACCCTCTGCCCCCATCCAGGTGCAGCAGGGGGCTCCAGAAGGAAGAAGTGAATGAGGTACTGGAGGACTCGCTAGATGAGCGGTATCTGACTCATTCCAGCGGCCATGACTCCCCCCAGCCTCCCAGCAGCGATGCCTTCCTGTGTGACATGCAGAAAGCCAGCTCGGCTGTGGCTGTAGCCAGTGAGTACCTCCATTATTAAGAGAATAAAACTCCAACAACTAGAAGACTGGAGAATAAAGCTCCAGTAGCTTCCTGTGCGCTTACCACCTCTGTCTGGGCTGAGTGAGATCGCCTTTGCGGTGGGCCTTGAAGATTAACTTTGAAAAAGTGTTGAGGTTGAACAGAGCTCCGAGGCCAAGTGTCAAGTTCAGGTCCCTGGAGGTCAGGTAATTTGCAGCGTTCCTGGTCCACACGTCACCTCAGTCACGGTGGCCCTCGCTGGTGCATGCAGGCCAATGGGCTCCAGGCAAAAGAGGAGAGAGTGAAGGGGCCATGGCAAACTCCCTGCCGACACCTCGGCCGTGTACAGGGTCTAACAGGCCTCCTTCTTTAAGATGAAGCATCTTCACCTTCCTGAAACGTTCTTGCTCATTACAGATCCTGAGCAGTGTCCCTTGAGCTTTTTTAGCTCAGGATGTTGGCAGTCTTGCCCACATTTTTGGAGGTGCAATTATCATTGTTCCTGACTTCAGGTGCCAGTCCCCCTCTCCCCCAGGCGGCTCAGCTCCCGTAAGATTCCATCCTACCGCCAGAACGCCAGGTAGGGTCCCTGAGCAGCCAGGGTTCCCAGCCTTGGTGCAGCACCACAGGTTTTATTTTGTTTTATTTTATGTTTTTTTAATGTTTGTGAGGGCAATCTCTGCCGTAATCTAGTCTAAAACTACAAGCGGCATATCTAATGGAGAAAAGTCTGAATCTGGCAGCAGCGCCAGCAGCATGCCCATCCCCCCTCCCCGCCAAGCGAAGCTCCTCCAGGCGTGTAGGAGCCCCTGGGGGCCGCAGCCCCGTTGGTGTGTGTATGCATCCAAACCCCCACCTTCGTCTTCTTTCCTTACGTGACTGTTCGACTTTCCTTTGGGATGAAAGCTTGGATTGTTAAAGAACTATACATCTTATGTGCTCTTCTGGGTGACTGAGAGAGAAACTATCTTAACTCACTCACTGCTAACTAAGTTTTTACAGTGATGTTGTAAGCCATGGCGGGGTCTGTCTTTCTGCCAGCAGTGGGTATAAATATGCACCATTACTACTCAGACAGACCCTTACAAAGGCACCCTCATTCCTGTTTCCCGTTTCACCCTGAGATACAGAGGGCGGTCTTCGTCATCTGCCAAAGACAGTCAGTCATAACACAGGTGGGAGAGGTCATTAGTAGAGAGGAAGGCATTTCCCAGTACCCACGAGTCATACGGAGGAGGCTGAAGAATGGCAAAGGGCAGAGGCCTTGCCGAGAGGCCCCTGGCCACCCCGTTAGTGACAAGGATTCTCCATCTCCTACCTCATTCCATGTCCCGGTGCGACGGCTGCAGGAGGTGAGATCCAGAACCTGCACCAGCACCTGGAGGAAATCCTGTTCATCAACGGCTGCCTGGGAGACAAGCTGGAACGTCACCTCGGCATGGTGGACGAAGGGAGCAGCACGGGAGGCCCAGGTCTGCGGGCTTTGTTCCGAGGGCAGGTCGCCTGTGCAGGCTTCACAGGTTTCAGGAGCTTTGCTGTGCCTTACTTGTTCCTTACAGATGGCCCCGCTAGGGAGGCAGGGCAGGTACTACTCTTCCTACCTCATTGTTGAAGAAATAGGCTCCTAGAGTGGCCTCCCAACCACTGCTGTGTACTCCCTGCTGCTCCTCTCCCATGTGACCGTCATTCAGTAGGATGCAGGCCACGAGCTCCTCATTCAGCAGAGGGAGGGTCTCCACTGCTGCCACCCCCACCCCCAGCCTCACGTCCGGGTTCTTCATCATCCCCAAGGCCAAGGCCACTCTTCTCTCCCCATGCTCCTCTTAGGCCGAACTCACACGAAGGCCAGCATTCTACCACCCTGTGCTGGCCACTCGGTGTGAGAACACATGTGAGTGGCCTGCACTTCTCAAAGGCCACGTGAAAGTCAAGCTTCTTCCCCATTTCACTGAAGTCCCAACTGCTAGGTTCCCATGGTTTTCTTCTGCGCGGAGATGGAAGAGAAGGAGAATGGCAGAAATCCTTCTCTTAAGCAAATGTGTGTAACTGGCCTAAACGAGCTGTATTTCCTGGAACAGGATGCACTTCTAACCTCTACAGGGAGATCTTAGAGTCCGCTGTCCAGCTGCACAACGAAAATAGAGACATCGGGATGGAAAACGGAGCTTCCTGGCTCAGCTGAACCATATTCCCGGAGGTAAGTGGTCGGAACCCAGAAAGTGCGGTCACTCTCAGCCCTCTCTTCTGGTGCCGCACCCGGCTTAGAGGGAAAGACGGTGGGAGGCCAGCGCCATCCCGACCCTCCTGATCCATAGTCCTCACAGTTTTCCTCAGTCTAGGAGGGCTGCCTCCTGGGTGCACCCCCTACAGGCGCCCAGACTGCAAGTCCCGGGAATGAGTAACTCTGGGAAATGCACCGTTTAAGCACAGACTGAACCCCACTGTTGCAAGCCTGAACAGAGAAGAAAAACATCCCAAAGTGAGACGATTTAAGAGAATAATTATTCTAAAATTTGCCAAGAATAGATAAATTCACTGCTAGAATGCTGAAAGAACAAGCAAGCAGAATTTGGATTCTGGGTCAGTAGCCTTTGAGGAAGGTCCTGTAAGTTTAAAAAGAAGCAAAGGCCCCAGTTTTCAAACTGATTAAAATAAAGTACTAAAACATTGAAATAAGTGTAATTTATGTTGACTCTTGGCAAAATACAAGTTTGTTACACTCAAACCCTAATATTCCAGTCACCTTATGCTTTCCAACTCTTACTATGGAGGACAAAAAGCAAACCAAGGCAAAATACCTCTCAGACTGGCAAAAGTATTTACAAATCTGCAAAGTATCGTCAGTCCATCTCCTGTTTGATTGGCTGCTGATTGGAGGTTCCAGCGACCTTCTCCGTGGACTTCAGATGCCAGGTGCAAGTTCAGGTTGTTACCTGTACTTCTGACTGGTTGGCTATGTAAATCGGAGGTTCCCCAGACCCCCTACCTTGGGTTTAATTAACAGAACCCAGGGAAGCATTTTACTCACTAGATGATGGGTTCATCACAAAAGAACATACAGTTCAGGAACAGCCACATGGAAGGGACGCAGAGGACGAGGTACGAGGGGAGGGCGCAGAGCTCCCCTGCCCTTCCAGCACCTTGATGTGTTCCACTTGGAAGCCCTCTGCATGCCGTCCTTTGGATTTTTATGGAGATGCCATTACACAGGCAATTGATTGACTCACTGGCCATTGGCGGTTGGACTCCATCTGCAGCCCCTCTCCCTCCCTGCCCCAGCCCAGGTGGCAGGGGCGGGGCAGGGGGATGGGACTGGAGGTTCCAATGCTCTAATCATATGATTGGCTGTCATGCAATCATCCCTCCCACTCCACATCTTTAGGTGCATTTCAAAAATCCCATCATTCAAATAGCCAAACACACCTTACTGGCTCTCACCAGTTGGAAAATTCCACACAAGCTGTAGGAGCTCTGTGCCGGAAACAGGATGAAGACCAAATGTATATTTCTGATTATAAACCACAATATCACAGATGGTGTGAGGACCCTGCTGTTTTTCACATTCTGTGGTTTTCCCCTTGGCACCGCCCTCCTATTTAAAAGGAACAGGATATAGATTTAGGAGCAAGAGTTCCATGCAAAATATCCCCTCTTACATAGAGCAGACTGTTTCGGAGTGTGCGTGTGTGAAGCGAGGCACATTCTCCTGGGGGGTGTGGAAGGCCTCTGTTTTCCTCCAGAAGAGAAGATGGGAGAGTAAACTGATGCTGAGGAGGAAGTGGAAGGACTCAGACTAACCCATCTGCAGCTGCTTAGGGCAGGGCCATCAGCTTCTTGAGGTGGCGGAAGCCTGTACTCCACACAACGGGGCAGGTGGTGGAGTGCAGAGGACTCTCCCTCTAACGGCTGGTATAACCATCTCTTTCCAGACTGCAGCCGACCACCCTGCTCACCCACTTAACTGTGCTGGGGTTGCACCTGGCCTCTCTCCTCACTTAGCCTCAGGTAGGTATCCGCCGAACCTGACAGAGGATTCTCATTTAGTTTTTGTTTGTTTGTTTCAGGCAACAACTAATGCTGGGACTATGAAAAGTTCTTGTCTAATTTCAATAAAGTTTATTAGTCACAGCAGTTCCCCCAGCCGATGAAAAAGAACCTACCAAAACAAGCGGAAGTTCAAATCTGGAATAAAGAGGCTTCATCTCTGAGAATCAGATTTCACGGCCACTCTAGATTTTTCCTCCAAACGGAGAGCTTGACTGCAGAAATTGCAACCCCTCTTCACTCAGCCAGAACGGTCCAAGAGACACCGATTTCTAGATTCAGATGATCTTGAGAGGCCCTAACCCTTCTCCCTCCCCACCCCCATCCTGTGGATAGCTGGAGTCATCTGCAGCTGGGAGAAAATGGCAGTGACTTGGGTCAAGTGCAACACAGAACAATATCACTGCAGACCGTTCTGCAGCTGTTCAGCACGAGTCCATTTTCCTTAAAGGCTGAAGGTTTAGAAATCTCTGAGAATAGACTTGATCTTATATGCATTCTGTCGCCTATCTTTTTTTTTTTGTACAAATTGAAATTATAAAGCTTTCTGTCTCTAGCTAAAAGCAGGAAACACAAACATTAATATGCCCACTACATTTATACCCCAGAGCGATAGCAATCAGGTCTGGGTGCTTCACTTCATTCCAAAATCAAATGTTATTGAGTGCCCGGTATTACACAGAAAAACTACATTGTGTCTCACACTCCGGGAGAGAACTCAGGCAAGATATTCGGCCGCCACAGGTAGGCCCCTGTAAGCGAAGGAGCAGTCTCCTACACGTCCAAGGGAACAATGACAGACCCTCCGCCAGAGAAGATCCCGAGAAGTGGTTGTTCACTCTTGTACGTGATGTGGAGGCCCAGCAAAGTCCAGCCTGGTGGTCTCTGTTTCGGACCCACAGAGAGAGGTTATACCTACAGGGAGCTGGTAGGTTTCAGATAACTCCCCCTCACTGGAACATTTTTTTCCTGAAAATAAATTCCTAGTATCCATTGATTTGTCTTTTGCAATCAAATATAAAAGTGGGACATCTTATTCAGAAGCTTTGAAACCTACCAAGTAGCCTCCTGCTCACCAGATCCCCAGGCTAGAGGGCTGACTCACGTGGGGAGGACAAATCCTCATGGGTGGCAGGAAGGGATCTTGCAGGTGGGTTTGTACCCATACTGCAGACGGGTACAGCGGACTAGTGACTGACGTGTCCTGGTCCAGGCAGGTGGTTTTGAGGGCCAGCACGCCCTCCTGCAAGGCGGAAGCCCAGAGACAGCCGATGTTTGGTCCAGGACTTAGCCAGCTCTTCACAGTCTCCCTGTTTACACATTCCCCCAGCATTATGCACTTTGAAAATTTCAAATCTGCAAATAAGTTGAAAGAGCCACACAATTCTAACCATCTAAATTCAGCATTTACACTTGCTCGTTTTCTGTCTACACACACCCACACACATGTTCATATTCAGCAAATGCTGACAAAAAGCTCACTTCACCCCTAAATACTTCAGCATGTATTTCCTGAAATTAAGGGCAATATCCTATAGAACTATAGTATAATTAAATCAAATCTAATGACATCGATACTAATTCAGTAATACTATCTAATATATGCTCCAAAATGTGGCGTCTATACACATAGACAGGTGCTCTCTCTACTGCGCATGCCTGTGCCTCTCGTCCCCCACCCCCACTCCTGAGCTCCAAGGGCCCATCTTTTGTTGTAACTTGTTTCCCGAGCCCGTTTCTTCTCCTGTTCACTTCTTCTCCCTCTGTCACTTACAACGTTCTCTTATAATTTGAGTCTTGGCTCCGAGTTCTTCTCTTAGCCGGAACTCCAGAACTGAGGCTGCTGAGCCGAGGGTAACGCCTGCGCCATTTTTCCCACCCCTCACAGGGCGTGGTGGCTCAGCTGCTCCTCCCTGTTCTCAGCTCGCCCCCTCTAACGCGCACCTGCTCCCTCCTGCTGGAGTGCTTCCTTCCGTCCTTAAGCTCTAGGCGCACCCCCCTCCAAAAGGAACGAATGTACAAATATATAAATACACACACACGGGAGACTAAAGCCTAAGAGTGCGTGCTGTGGCTTTGAAATTCCCCACATGCTAATTAAAATTCCTAAAATTCCACTTTAATCCTTCTTACCTGGAACTTTCTCCCACTTTTTTTGTTTTTGTTGTTTCTGAAAAGAACAGCACGTAAGTATCTGTGCTTCCTACTGCACCCTGCCAGGCATCAAGCTGTCCAAGAACAAAGCAAAAAAAAAATATATGTATATATACATATATACTGTGACTATTTTCACGTCGAAAATAGTAAAAGAAATGCAGCATCTGCCAGCAGGTCAGTGCTTTGTGTTGTAGATGCAGTAACCGCGGCTCCAATCCGAAACCACAGTGTCTATTGTCTTTCTTGATTGGAACTGACACGTTTTTCGGTTTACTTTTTTAATCCCAGCAGCAATTGTGACCCTGATTTGGGACCAGAGAGGGGTGTACGGCTGTCTCGCCAATGCAAGCAAGGCCTTGGAGAGTAGGGAGGGCGACCCCAGTGTAAGAAGAACACCTCAAGCCAGGTCCTTGGGAACCTGGGACGCGCCCCTGTCTGAGCGTGCGCAGAAATTACTCCCAAACGCGGAATCCTCTCCTGGAGCCCCGTTCGTAGCTTCCACTAATGAAATAACGCCGTCATAGCCATTTTTCTGGTAGAGATATTTTAAATATTGGTGAAACATTTTGCGTTAAAATAAAATCCAAACTCCTGGCCAGTCTACGCGGGTTTATCTCCATCCCCCATCCCCATGTTTATGCTAACAGTGAATTACCGAACTGTAATTCACCGAGTAAAATGCAAAAATATCCTACAAAAGTCAGGAAATCCCTCCACAACAAGGAGTGGTCACATCAGTATCAATAGTGCCGAAGGGGAGAATCCTGGGTGCAGACCCATGTCTGCACGCCTGGCCGACGAGGGGACACGAACTCCTGACGTATTAAATGTGGGGAGCCTCCAGCGTCATAAGTTTTTTTGGCCGGAGCATCCGAAAGGACAGCATTCCCATCAACTAGCGTAGGGGAAATGCGGGTGCGGAGCCGTGGAGCTTTGCCGGAAAGCGTGTTCCATCCCCGTGGCCTCGGTCCGAAGCCCTCA